AACGCGGGCTTTACGGAAGAGAAACTCTGTCGGATGGCCGGCATTCACCCAGACAAGGTCAAAGCATTCCTCTCGACAACGTTCCCCGAGATGAGAGATCTTGATAGGTTTCTTTTTGCGGAAGCTGTTGGACGTTTGCCAATCTCTTTGTAGTGCATATTGTATATGCTGAATCCAATGTTACGGCAAATTTTGTTATCCTGTCCCTTCGCGTGTCACTCCATATAATATATACCAAAATTTGAACCACAATTCGGCCGCTACAGAAATGAGTGAATGAAATGGGATATGATGCGAAAGTGTCGAATATCTTGTTCGTAATGTTACTATGAGATTGTATTGTGAATGGTCTAAATAATCTGGATATTCGCTGCATTTTTGGAACAATGTTTTGACGGGCAGGCACATGATGCCGCAACGGACAATGGCGTGGAGTAGACCCGCTTCAATAGCACTTCCGATTGACCGATAGCCAGGGGAGTGACCGAACATGCCGATAAGCAACGAGAAACCGCTGCCGAGGAGAGGTAGGAGGCCGAGAATGTCCGTTTTAGATTCGGAGGAAAGGTCAAGGATCCTCGCGAGAGACGGGATAATCTCATACGCGACACTGAGCGCTGTAAACAAGGGCCCAAGACCAGACTCTTCGGGATTATCCTTGCACATGCAAGTGTCCACGCCGTACGCAAACGCTATTATGGCCTAGAATAGCCTGATAGTGGCTACCGGCACCGGGGATTCCACGTCAAGGAGACTGCGCTGGATGAAACTGACCACGAGGAACGCTAGATCGGAAAGCTTCCCTCCGGCACCATCGATGATTTCATCGACGACCTCCCGAGTCACGGCCTGCGTCTGCAAAAGGAGTAAACTGGCCAAGTCCTGAAATCCGAGCTCGACCTCCCTACGATCTTCTGAATCAAGTAGGGCTTTCCAGGCCTTTACGAGAATAAATCATGATCCCGGAGTCGAGTACAAGGATATGGCGGTCTCGGTATGTTCCAGCATGCTCCCCCCGAACATGAGCAAGTCGATGCAGACACGACTTTCCGTGAAGATATGTACAGACCCAGGGATTTGAATTGAAAGAAGGGAGTCGTAATATGCGAAGAAAAAATGGTCCCATTTCCAGAGAGATTCCCAGACATCGGATAAAGCGTCAGGATGGATGACGTGCATAGAATAAACGCCTGTCACGGAGATGAAGCCTCTGGTAATTGCTCCTCGAGTGTCGGCAGAAGGATTGTCTAGCTGGCCCGCGGTAGGAATTCCGGCCGGTGCGAGATTGAGGTAGAAAACTGGAAGCATAAAACGAGTTTGGGGCTCCGGGATATCCGCCATGAGACCTTTCAGTCTCACAAGATCATCCAAAGATCCGCGCGCGGCAGCGGATGCGATCCTCTTTGAGCGATGGGTAAGCGACCGTGGAAAGGTAGTTGGGAGTATTACTCGGATAGCTGGCTGCAGTACTGAGAGACTGGTGAGCCGCAAACTCGGATGCATGGCGCCTGTCAATGGTGAAATCGATCCCAGGTGCTGGCAAAGAGCGTAGCGTACACGTGGAGTCAGTGGCGGTGCAACGCTTTTGTTAGCGGCGGTTGAGCGGCGGTCAAACCGGACGGACATATTTACGACGTCCTTACCATTGTGAGCCCTCTGAATAAAGAAGAAATGGAAGGAAAATGGAAGACATTTGTGGCATAATATCTCAAATCGGGGTTTTCGAGGAGGTACTTACTGTAGGTCCGGCCATTTTAAGACTGGCATACTTCTCTCATTTTGTTGCAGAGGATCCAGACTCTGAGGGAGTTACGGTCAAGGCCTAGGGTAGGATATGGCAGTCAAATTATACATCACAATCGTAAAAGATTTATCAAACTCGGAGTATTCTGGACGGATGTCGTTCAGAAGATAAACATATGACACAATTAAACATGAGAAATATGAGGAACCCACGGCATGGCGAGCCGCGCCTCCTCCAGTAAAGCTATCACTGGAGGATCCCAGTCGGCGTACACGTCCCATTTACTCCGGAGCGTAAACCGTAGGTCAACGAGGCAGGGAAGCATGGCCAACTACGGAAGAAGTAGCTGTATATCTGGGACGTGGACGGCGTCGATGAACACACGTTCAAAGTTGTGCAGGCAGCCAAGGATGTGACGCTCTTCGTCGTCAATGACTCCCTAAGGCCTTCCACCGATGAGCTGAGCATTTAGGTGCAAGCGATTGTGAATGCCAGTGAATGATAAAAGAAAAAGTCGCCGCAGCGCACGCTTTAGTGAGGCAACGCAGGAGGGGGATTGGTGGTTGATCGGAAGGCAGCGTCGTCTCTTATCCTGAGAGTGCGAAGTTTCGGGAGTGTACACGTGTAAGATGTGTGGGAAGGGCGGCGTGTGGGCCGGATGCAGACGCGAGTCCCAACTCGAGAGCATGCTCAGCGCTCAGTATCCGCATTCAACATGATCAATGTACAAGGCTCCTGGATTTTCCCTGAAGCCTCGACGCTATGTAGGTGAACTGAGATGAGTTTATTAAGTGGAATATATCTTCGCGACCAGCCACGACTCCATCTGAGGTAACAAGTTGGGCGTGAAGGGGAGGCTTCGCCACCATACGGAATCTTGCTCTGTCCATCCATCCTGATCCCCACTGTCCAGTCGCATGGAAGGCTGAATTGAAAACGATGAATACGGGGCCTGGAGTTTTGGCCGCCATGGCTCCGAACACACCGTGAATCGCAGTCAAGAAGTCGTGGAACGAATAAGAGAATGGTGTGTTCCTGTCGTTCTTGTGGGGTTCGAGCACATCGGCATGGAACAACAGCTAGACCTCCTTGAGATGATGGGATCTCCCAATGAAATCTCGGAGGATCCTCAGATTCCGAAGGGCATTAAATGACTAGAGGCGTGAACCTGTGGAGTCAAACGAGCGACCTGAATTATAATACGGGAAGGAGGTGTGAGGAGACGGTAAGGAGTCCCGTAGCCAGGGATGTGGTGGAAATATTGTTACGTGCGAGAAGGATAAAGACGCAACTGTCATTGAATACTATGGAAATGTGAGCGGCCACTATGAGGGCCTCATCATGGAGTTCGAGGAGAATCAAATTGCATAGCTCATGCGGTAACCGCATCGACTAACAAGATTGGGCAGGTTGTGAGCGGGAGGGGAACACCGAAAGTGTTGGAGCTGCAGCATGAGACGATGGGGGATGAGCACAAGGTGAGAACGCAGCGCCGAGGCCACGCAGCGCGGTGATGCGAAGTTCATCTCACGTGATCGCGTCGCGTGGATCGTGGGAGGCAATATGTGTGGGTGTTGTGCCAATTGCCCGTTGTTAACAAACAAGACATGACGCGCCGCCTTGTTCTCCGACACGACCCTCGATCAACCCTCGGTCGCGCCCTCGCTTCCTTTCATACTCGTTCCCATTATCTATTGCTTACTTTTGGCTTACTTTCAACGTCCTGACACCGCTTACCTCCTTTATCCTCGCTCCAGTATATAGAGCCTGCGAGCCGCAGTGTTAGATTCATCCACGCCTCACACTGCGCTCGCAGCTCTTCTATCTTTAGATCTTTGTCATCGCAAACGATATTTGACTCCACCTCCATCCCTATTCCATTTTATTTCATTCTACTTACTTATCTATAGTACTCGTTACATTACATGTCACTCGTAGCTGGCTTGAGTCTGATCCACGCGATCGACTCGAGAGCTTTAGGACCCAATATCATTTGATCCCAGACTCCCTCCTCCTCCTTCCGATCCTTCCGTGTCTCGCGACGAAGCTAACAGAATGCCACAAATTCTGACAGCGAGTCTATCTCTGCAACCGATGGTTAAAGCATGTTGTTATATGTACTCCCAAGTTGCAAACCCGAATATAACAACTTTGGCCGCAACCTGAAGAAATCTGAATCCAACACTGTTATAGATTGATTGGACGAAGACATACATGGCAAAGGCAAAAATAAGGGAAACGGCGGAAATAATATCCTGTTTGCGTCCGCAGGGGGACCGGTCGACCCATTGACTGTTTTCCTCCGATGTTCCCAACTTCCGCCCAAATCGTATTCTTCAGGGATACGGTAATGCGCACCTAAACGATGTAATGACGGATTTGTAAACTCAACACTAAGCCCTGGCTCCCTTGATGATCATGTTCAACTTGAAAGATGTGGTGCAGCTAACTAATAATCCACTGTACGTCGCTACTACCGAGGCAAAAATGCGTCGAAGGACGTATCTACTGTGCCGTCTGATATGCGACAGGATCTCCGACACCCGCCGCCGCGGGCACTCAAGCAATTTCGCTGTCAATAAAAGACGGTGAATCAAAGGATGGATGCGCTGCTGTTGGCTCGATATACCCGTCTGCCTATCATACCGCTCGGCGTCCTTCATCAGGAAAATCTGAAATGCTCTGAGAGACACATAGGTGGCTATCATGGGCTCTCTGGGGCTATGGCGAGCTATGGTGAGCTATATAACTGACCTGATTGGCTATATGATGCTATGGTGAGCTATGGTGAGCTATATAACTGACCTGATTGGCTATATGATGCTATAGTGAGCTATGATGGTCTATAGAGCTGAACCAATTGACTCTATGGTGCTATGGTCATCTATAAGATTTCACTAGCATAAATAGCGGAAAGTTAGGTAACACAATGGCAAGTAAACTTATGGCTGTCACAAATGGTTATCTGGATCATATCTTCCTTGCTACCAGATGGAACCTTCTGGGAATTCATTTTATGGTTTGCAGCAGGACAAACCCCTTAGGCAAAATCTGTCCCTTGACAACTTTTGTTGAGCATTTCGAGCTCTACAATTTTGGTTTGGGGTTTATTTTTAGCTACTCGCAAAGTTATGGCCTAGCCACTACCACTTCACATTATATGTAGTAAGTTACCACAAAGTGAAGGCAAAGACAGAGGGAGGTGGTAGCTCAGTGCTGACCCTACTAATATGACTTTGATTCTACATATCTCAATGTCTCCTTAGTCTAGTGGTTATTTTGTCGCTTCTCAAATTTTAGCTGTACGCGCGAGGTCCTGAGTTCAACTCCCCGAGGTGGTCGCATTTCAATATACTTACCCTTGCTCAATGTTAATTAGCTTCTCTGTAAGGGTGCGTTCGGATCATCCTGACGACCAGGATCAGGATCAGGTTTCAGGATCGGCGACACGGTCCGGTAGCTAGTCACAGTAGTCACACATTTGACGCGTCTTCCCCCACATCCATGACGAAGTCCCAGGCTGGACACAACGGAATAGGCTACCGGCATGTCGACACCATCACCGTCGATGTCCATCCGCCATACTTGCTGCGCCCGGAGATCCGCCCGGGCGCGAATGCGCAGTGGGTCCTCACCGATCTCATCAACATGGCGACGTTCCTCGAGTCCCACGTCCCCGGTGACGGGAATAAGTACAAGGCTCCAGTCCTCAAAAGCCTTACTGAATACCTCAATGACCGCGTTGTTGTCGGCGGCCTCAAAAAGCTAAATGGAGTGAAGCAAAAATTATCAGACGTGCGCTATCCGCTCCCATCCCTTCCTCGCTAATACCCAGCAGGTACTGGTCATTTACAAGGGTGTCAACTACCTCAAAACACGCTCCGGCGGCAACTGGGATGATGATTTCGGTGCCAATGTCATCACGCAGACAGAGGCTGAAGTCTGGGAGAGCCTTGTTCTCTCGCGGCCTGAGTGCTCACCCTTCCGTAACCAGGGCTGGCCGCCGTATCCGTTCTTCGAGAAGCTCGACCCTGCGAAACCAAAGGGCGACAACTCGTACCGGCCGCGCACTGGCGTGGTGGGCAATGATGTTGTCGTTCCTGGTGCCGCGTCGCAGGCCTCAGCCAGGTCTCAGTCACAGCAGCCTGCAAACACGGCCAGCTCAGTGTCGCAGCAGCTCGTGGCTGACTCCGGGCGCTACAGCCCAGACTGGGACCTGGAGCGGCTCGCGCAGGACATGTCGCAGCCGGACTCGCAGGACCAGGACGATGGAAACAGCTCTCAGCTTGACCTCAACACCTCGTTCTCGCAGGCCAGCTCCAGCGTCCCCTCGACCCCGTCAACATCTTCGGCAAAAAAGCGCCGAGCAGCATCGTCGACGGCCGACACATCGTCGAAGAAGAAAGTGCGCATCAATCCTCAAGACGCACTGTTCTCCGTGAGCCGCTCTCTGGACACATTTGGCGAACGGATGAGCACTGCAACGCGCGAGCTCACAGATGTTCTTCGTACCACCAACACCAACTCCAGCCCTGAGCGCCGTGCTCGTGCGCTCGAGGTCGTTCACAAGGAGAAATGGCTCCCTCTTGCAGACCGAATTCGACTTGGAGGCCTGGTTGGGAAGGGGCAGATGGCAGATGAGTACATGTCGTGGACTCGTGAAGGTTCGCCAGAGCGCAAAACATGGGTTTGCATTACACTTGGGTTCGACCCGGACTACTACAAAAGTGTGCAGGCTCCATAAAAAATTAGTTTAGTTAATCAATCTGCATTTCATCCTCGTCATTGTCCAATTGAGGCTCTTCCATCGCAGAGAGTGCTTCATCGTCACTTCGAGTCGCTTCGTCCTCTTCCTCTTCATCCAAATCCGGCTCGTCCTGGCGTTCACGCAAGATCTCCTGGTACTGAACCCACATCTCGTCGGCAATGCGATCACGAAGTCTTGCGCCGACTTCTGACTCCTCAGACGTGCGCCGCTCAGTGGCTAGCTCACCCTGAAGCCGGAGTGTAACCACGACGTCGGGGTCAACTGTACCACCCGGCGATGGATCCCACACCTCAGGGTTGACACGCTCATCCGGGTCATGCTCGAGGATGAAATTATGAAGTGCAGCCAGGGCAGCAGGAATGCGTGCCTGAATCTTCATGTCATAGCCTGGCGGCATGATTAAAATGCGCCACCGCTTCTTGATTACACCGAAAATTCGCTCGATAATGTTGTGGGCTTGTGCATGGCGCAAGTTGAACAGCTCTTCACGGTTCTGAGGGCTGTGAAGAAATTATTTTTTTACAAGGTGCATAGTTGAACAAATGCTCACCGGCTTTTTCCCTTCGCCCATTCTCGCAGATGGTATCGGACATTTCGAAAGGGGACAAGGACTTTGGCCGTGAGTGGAAAGCCTGCATCACCCAGATAAAAAAAACCGTCAGGGATGGGGAAATCCTTGATGCGTGCATCTGCATACAAAAACGCATCTGTAACAGACCCTTCCCAACCGGACAGAATATAGATAAAGCGAAAGATAAAGCTGCATACTGCAAGGACGTTCTGGGAAAGGAAGCCTTTGCGATTGCGGGCATTTGAACGATCGTCCTCGCTCGTTGTGCAAGCAATGTGTGAGCCATCCATTGCGCCCAAGCAATTCTCGAAGAAGGGCCAGAATTTTGGATTTTTTCGGAGGTAAGAGGCTGGCGGGTCCCGAGACGTAGGTAGGGTAACATATGTATTGTAGAAATGGCCGCCAGAAAAGGTGAAAACCATTTTACGAAAGAATCTACACAGTTGTCGAGTCAGTGTGCATTGTTAAAAGAACATTTGCCCACTTTGTAATGGTTTCGTTGGACCGTTGGAAACGCTCACCAACGTGGCGACAGCCAAGCCCAGTGCGGCATATGTAAAGAAAAATTGCAAGCTGCTCCTCGAGAGACACGTATTTGGAGTCGGAGTAGCCCAAGCCCCGCAATTCAATTAACAGCATGACGAAGACATGCAGATGGACTCCGAGCTCGTTGTAGATCCTCTCAGGGTGCCCGCGCATCAGCTCCTCAACCCATTGCTGTCCAGTGAGCTTGGAGGTGTGGTAGGGTTGTGCCCAATACCAACTACTGCCGTAGAGCCAGCAGAGGACTGTGATTAGTCGTACAACATTGACAGCACTGTCCATCCATTGCTGCAGATGGTGTAGGGTGACAGTACGGAGGCTAGGAGCCATGGAAGAGGCAGAGAAATTGCGAAATACAGGCGGGAAGGCATTATCTAGTGATATCTATTGTTATCGATTGACGCCGGAGCAATGTGTGACTACTGTGACTAGCTACCGGACCGTGTCGCCGATCCTGAAACCTGATCCTGATCCTGGTCGTCAGGATGATCTGAACGCACCCTAATCTAACCTTGACTTCGCACCCCATTATCCTAGTAATGCAACAAGAGAACAATACATTATGACCTTACAATTGTAACATCCCAATTTTTTCTTTGCTCTGACCATGACCACTATCATAGAAAACACCGTGACTATGGTGAGCTATGGTGGGCTATGAAGTTCAGTCCAGGGTCCCACGTTTCTCTGAGGTTGGTCAGTTTGCTATATCAGCTATGGCCACTATATAGGGCTCTGGTGCGCTATATGGTGCTATGGGGCAACTTTGGATTTTCCTGATGTTCAGAGCGGCCGCCTCCTTCGCATCCCTCCGTCTTGCACGCGAGTCCTCCGAAATCCGCATAAAATGGGCTCGTAAGCATGAAGGATAATCTCAGACTCAAACTCATGTACCGCACCAGGGCCTCGACTTCCATGAATAAGCCGAGCAGGCTGCCGGTCCACGACGGAGAGATCGTGCGTGAAATTGACCCCCGTCATATCCTCCTCGTGCATGGTCACTAACCGGACGTTCTGGAAAAGACGCACAATGGCGTTGTGTTCCCTTTCGTGCGAGTCTTCGCTGGTGTCGGTTAGGACACTCCCGAGTCCGCAAAGCTGTTGCCGTCCCCGTCGTCGAGCGCCGGCGGATTGGAAGACACACTGATCTCTGAAACCACAGAGGCCCGTTCGATGGTAAACGAGTAAGGGCACGAGTGGTTCGAATGTATGGATCCAGGGTGCTCTTTTGCAGGTTTAATTGACGCTTTTGCGGTCAAATTCAACTGCTCTTCCCGCCGCACAATGTCGTTCTCCATAAGTACATCGTGTCGCACTTGTCGCGGACGTCGAGCCCGTACACCACGGGATCCCAATCCATATTGAGAGTTGGTGCGCGAACCTTTGCTATCACGAAGGGAGACAGATAGAAATTCGACCAAGGTAAGGGCTTTGATATGCGCAGCGGCTGGCGCGACAGTAGTCTCTCGGTGACAGATGCTTCAACATACTGAGCTCGTACCTCGCTTGTTGAAGTCTGTTGTTTACCGCGGGGGTCCGATCAACTAGCTCCGTTATTACGCAATCTCGGAGTTTGAATTTTAGTGGGTAAATGCTCGAAGGCTGGTATTTGTGGCTTTCTATCCCCTCCCTTGACCTGCAACTTTCATATAACAAGAATAGATACCTCATATATATATATAAATCCGCGAATTTTCACCATCCATTCTGAGACAGTTTTGAGTATTTTCAGAATGGACGTCGAAATAACACGTGACCAGGTCGCGCTTTTTGCACAACGGTTTATGGGCCACACTTTTAAATTCTGAGGAGATAGAAATCGAGGCACAGCTCAGGCAACCCATTCTATGTCAAAATATCATGAACCAAGCAGTTTTGTATGAAAAAGAGTACGCGACTTGAATTCAAACTCCGAGATTGCGTAATAACGAAGCTAGTCCATCGGACCCCCACGGTAAACACAAGACTAGCGCGACAGCAGGTGCTCGATCGCTGGAAGGACAGGAATTGACATGGCAAAGTCGATGCCATCATCCGGCAATGTCAGAGGGAGTCCCTCCATGAGAAACTCGACCGCGTATTCGTGGTATTGTCCAAGATTTTTTCCCCAGTGCAGCAAGTTTTATTGAGCTGTTCACAGCGGCGTGAGCAAAGTGGGTGGGAAGGAGTTCTAGGAGATACTGCAGGTAACCAAGCGCAAGGATAAATCGGCGGACTCGTAGAGGTACAATGCCCGTTTCCGTATATAGCGGGATAAACATGGAGTGCCCATGGAGATTGAGGATTTGACGGATAAATGAGACTTGAACCTCGCAGAGCTGTTTCACGTGAACATCTTCGCAGTCGGGTGAAATTTTGCAACCATGAGTAAGATGACAGTCAACGCGCGTCATGTACAGCAACTTCAGTTCCTTAGGAGTAAGTCTGCCCGTTTTATCTTTGATGGCCATGATGCGGTGC